ACTGTTTCTGTTAATGAGAATGGAGTTTACAGTCATGGCAAAACTATTAGGAGTGCATGGCAGTGCTCTTAACAATCCATTAAATAAATGAAAATATATTCAAGAAGTAAAGTTCGTATTTTTGAGAACGATTTTAGAAGCATTCCTTTCATCAAAACAAAAATAAGAAAAATCATTGTTGAGCAAATCAACTGAGTTTGAATGAATAATAATAATTTAACAGAGAAATTAAAGATTCTTTAATTTTTCACAAGCAAGCACTTATTTTATTTTTGAAACATTTTCTTTTGGCTTTTAACATTAATTTTTTGATAGGGTATTAAATCAACGTTGTCTGCATAATTCGTATGCAAGTAGCTGTTGCTATTCATTCTGCGCATAGTTTTTGTTATTACTAACTTGCTTGTGATGTTGTTTTTTTTTGTTTCAGTGTTGTGTGTGCGTGTTTCCAAGCTGATTTGAGGGCACTGTTACAAGGCTGCCCGGCCCGCTCGCTCTCAGAGTCAGTCCGTGCCGCTGTCTGTCTGTCTGTCCGTCTGTCCGTCTGTCTGCCTGTCTCTCCGTATTTCTATCTTGTCAGCCGGGCAGCCCCCAGTTGGCCAGACAACGTCTTAGCGCGTTGGCAGTTGCATTTTTGCAAGATTTATGTAGCGCGCTGCACTCGTTGCAGTTGCATCTAAACTTGGTCTAGGTGCTTATTGGAGCGCTACAAATGTGAGCAACGAATTTCGTGCGTGTTCTAAACGAGTTTCTGTGGCAACTGTTAGATAGTTGTTTTTTTTGTTGCTATTGCAGTTACCGCTGCAGTTGCTGTGACTGCTTTTAAGTGGCATCCAGCAGCGATTTGAACTTTGGGCAACTGCTTAAGGCGCCCAGCCCAACGAAGTACAGCCAGTTGAGCCAAATACGACCTAATTTACCAACTAATCAGACAATTCCGCCCACTTTATGCATGACAAGGCAGCTAATATATACTGTCTCCTATAACAATAGCGTTTATTTACAAGGACTAACTAAACACAAAATAATAATAGATAAAAGACATGTGCAGACATTGTTGGTAATAATAGAATGGCTTTATCCACAATAAAGTAGAAATTTCTAGTTTAAACACGTTCTCTAAGTCTGTGTGGCATATAATAAAACTTGTTAATTTGTGGCTCACGCTTATTCGATTGAAATAAGATCTTTCTATATATAAAACAGACTGTCTGATTGGTGTTCGATGCGTCGTTAAAGTTCTTAAAGCAGACAGTTGGCTTTTGCCTAGGCTTTTAATCAAGTGGCATGAATACACCCGCAATGGTGGAAAATGGGTGGATATCTGTTGAATGCATCAACTCTAGAAATGATTGGATCCAAGGCCGTGATTTAACGATGCAATGTTAAAGGAAGCCAGCTTTTATTTTATGTGGAAACTATTATCAAATAGTCATCAGACTAGTTAACATTTTAATTTGCAATCAATATGGCAATAATAAGCAAATGTTATTATCGATAAAAGAGTACCGAGTACCAGAGAACAAAATAACAAAACTGAATTGCAATGTTTGTGAAATATTGAATAAAAATGTACACAGACACCATAAAATTGATAAATGAATGATTGAGAAATTGATAGAGCTATTATCAGCTTAGATTCTTATCGGTGTGCACTAATTGTGCAAGCGCCATAATTTCCTACGAACTTTAGCACAATACCTTGGCAATATCCCCATTAAACCTTAAAGCCATGTCGTATCTTAGTCGTATCAATGACAGCTCGACTACCCCCACAAAGCCCCGGCCTGATAGACATTCACAAATATTCATTGAGCACTTTGGGGCTATGTAAATAAGTAAATGCTTAAGTGCTCGTAGCCCAGACTATCATTATAATTGCGCCGGGCTAAAGCAAAAAGAGCCAAAAGTAACAAATTTGATTGATGAATATAATTTTTGTTGGTTTTTGTTTCAGTTTGGAAGCGAACATTAATTAGTGCCAATAAAATTAAGCAAGAAATGTGTCACATGAAGGAACGACATAAACAAATAGAAGAAGAGCGACAAACCATTTACATTGCTTGGCCAGAGGTCAAACAAGGTCATGGTCGGACTTTACGGAATACAGCAAATTTTTCTTGTTTTTCTTGTGTGGAGGTCAACATCAAAAATATATATAGTCTTCTGTTTTCTATGTCGACTAATGACGGCCCACGCGTCGACTTGTAAACTTTATAATTATAAATGTTTTATGATTTTATTTTTTTCACTTTTCATTATTCTTGACGTTTTACGCGCCTGTTACACGCAGTCGCCGCACAGTGGCTGCTTATAATTTATTATTATATTAATTACGCGCAGCGTCTTGGCCTTAACAAAAACAAAAACAACAACAACAACAACAATATTCATATTTGGCTAATGGGCCAAAGGCACGCAAAAGCAGCCCAAAACAATTTGTAACTGCACAGCAAAAGCGCATAAAATTATTTCTATATGTATTTGCTTGTTATATAGAAATTCTCTAGTTTGTTTGCCTCGCAAGGCTTGACATTATTTATGCTCAGGACAGCAATACAGCCAATACTGACTGCCAAGGCAACCAAATGGGTCAAGTGTAAATATCTATTTCTTTGTGGTTTGGTTAAACGCAAAGTTCAATGCGAAATGAGCGCATGATGAGGGGAATTGGGCACTGGGGTCTGGGAGGGTGGTGGCAGATTAAACGACTAAGAAAATTCTGGGCACGCAAAAGTTTTAATTACGAAAAGGAAAAAAAGGGCAGAAGAACAACAAATAATGGCGTAGGTTGGAGAAATTCGGAGAAAATTACAGTGGGCAAAGCGCAATTTCATCAGAAATGTGAATCAATTTAGTTAACCTAATTTATTAATGAAATTAATTTGTATCTTAATTAATACTAGGAGTATTGCACAACTACTACTACAACTAACTACACTATCTAGTTAATAACGTGAATAATCTATTATTGCTCCAATCTCAATCAAACGAGCTTTAAGAATCAAACAAGCTTTTCCTCTGGTTAACCACTTGAGAATTATAAGCCAACTCACGAACTAGACTCTAAGCATAGATCAAACACGATTATGCTTGATTAGTTCAGTTAAAGATAAACTTTCTTTGTCATATGATATGTTATGGTATATAATCCCACATAACGTAAACAGGACGGAACAATATTCATATTTTTATATAAATAAAGTTTCCTATGTTTTCATTAGACATAACTTAATAAGAGTGTAAAACACATTGGTTCCACAGAATTTATATGCTTTAAGAAATTTAAAATAAAGCGAAACTCGAAATATTTTATTTCTCATCCTTTTTTCAATTATAAATGGATGTGTTTTAATTTCAGAGAGTAATTCCAGATCAAATTCCACATAAAAAGATGAATAGCTTGTGTAGTACGTATTCAAAACAATTATTCTAATTAAAATCTAATCTAATTTTAGACATATATATACATATATATAATTGTTGTTTCTGAGTAGTATAAAAACACACACAAAACCACAAACTGGGTCGCAAATATTTCTTATCTTAAGTCGACCTGTTAGTGTCAAACGTAAATAATTTTACACTGATTCATTGAGCAATTATTAATTTGAAATATATTAAACGCCCACTGACAGTTATTATTATCTCAAATGGTGTTTCCCGGCAACTGAGTCTAATTGAATTGAGAACAGAGCAAAAGCACGTAGCAGGAATTATTTCAATGGAAGGAACATGTGCTCAACATGTGGCCCGAGCAGGTTGCCAAAGCTTTTGGCCCCCCGACAGACCAGAACTCAGCTTACCCACTGACAGCTGCAACGAGTCAAACCAATTAAAAGTATCAACGGCACGCGTTTGCCAAAGGGTGGTGCAGAGAGAAGCGGAAGCTGTCCGAAGCACAGTCACAGGCCGAACAGCTGAGCTGATGGACTCGCTTATCGCTTGGGTTGCTGTGTTTCATCAACTTCAAGGCGATGCCCAAAACAAACAACAATCAATCTTAAGTCGTGTGTGTATATATGGATAGCTGATCGCCCGAAATGCAAACATTCATTGCAAAGCCAAATTTTCCTAGAATCTATCACAACAGATCGAATATAGAATAACTAGAATGGTATTTTTTGTACCCCAAAAGAAAAACCTTTAAGAATGTCTGCAATAAGAAAAGGCTCTAGTTGGAAGTTCCCAAAGGATGGACAGACAGACGGACATATCTAGATCGACTCGGCTATTGCTGCTGATCATGAATATATATACTTTATGGGCTGGGAGATGCTTCCTTCTGCCTGTTACATACATTTGCACAAATACATTATACCCTTTTACCCATTATTAATGGGTTCATTATTCATTCTTTTTCTCAATTTTATAACAAGTATATTTATTCGTGTTTATATAAAATCGGAATACCTGACTGGGAATAATTTAATGTATTTCATCCATTTGTTATCGCTTCACGTACAGAAAAGCTTTGATACTCCTTACCAAATCTTTATAAATATATAGAAACTGATCTATAGTTTATTTTGACTGTCAATCAGTGGCTATTTAAACGAAAGGCCTTCTAGTATGCAATATGGATGGAGCATTATTTTTTCGATACCCGCTTTTACGTCTGCTAAATTGGAGATTATTCTTTTGCAAATATTTGTATCTCTGATCATATCTTTAAATTTTTAAGAGCTAAAGATCTGTTGATTATTTCATTTAATCAGCTTGTATTTGGTAAATCCACAAATTAATGTTTCAAAATTGGTAGAACTATCGGACAATAAAGACAACATTCAAGAGTAACTTGGACATAGTATATTAGCACGAATATATAACAGCCAATCAGAGCGTTAGCTAACATAGCTAACTCCCAATTGGAATTTTCGAATTCTGTAGTAAGTTTAACATTATGATAAAGTTATTCTGCTTTGCATGTAATATTACAGAATTACTCTCTCTGTAATTTCTCTGTAATCTTCGTAATTTTCAACTCAGTAGATACTCACTGTGTTGTTATTTGTTGCGACTGGGTATGCAAAGTCCAATTGGGGTGTTCCTTTGATGGCGAGTGTTGTTTCCATGATAAGTATATGCCCAGCCAGACCCAAGTAGATGTAATAGTTTCAGTTGTAGCTGTAGCTTTAGTTGTAGTTTTAGTTGTAGTTGTAGCACTAGTAGTAAGTAGTAGACATATAGACGAGACGACGACAACAACGACGATGGTAACAAAGAAGGTGACGAGAATGCGAGATGTTTGTGCATCTTCTAGAATTCAGCAAACTCCTTGGCGCACTTTTCGGTGCTGGAAATCCGCAGTGCCTCCTCCTCGTAGTCATCGAAATTGCTTGTATCGCCGGGACCTTTACACCGCGGTATGAACGGCGCCTCGATTTTCTTTTGGAAGATCGCAATCCAGTCCGTGGAGGCGAACCATTTCTGGTTCTTAATATCATTGACGCCCGCTTTCAGATTGCCATAGCGCTTGGTCAGATCCACCTGCAGCAGATTGCGCAGCAGATCCTTCAGATCGGAGCCAAAGTGCGAGGGGAAACGCACCTTGCCGGACACGATCTTCTCATAAATCTGTATCGGCTGATCCGCAAAGAAGGGCGGATAACCGGCGGCCATTTCGTAGACCAAAACGCCAAGCGCCCACCAATCGACGGCCTTATTATAGCCCTTGGACAAGATGATTTCGGGTGCCAAATACTCGGGTGTGCCGCATAGCGTCCAGGTGCGACCCTTGACCCGCTTGGCAAAGCCAAAATCGGTAACCTTCAGATAGCCCTGCGAATCGATCAATAGATTCTCCGGCTTTAGATCGCGATAGATGAGGTCCAGATAATGCAGATACTCAAAGGCGAGCACAATTTGTGCCGCATAGAAGCGCGAATGCGGCTCCGAGAAGCGTCCGACCTTGCGCAGATGAGAGAACATCTCGCCGCCGGGCACATACTCCAGCACCATATAAAGATTGGAGTTGTCCTTGAAATGGTAGCGTAGCGAGACCAAAAATGGAAACTGTATCGCCTGCAGGATGCGTTTCTCGTTCAGCGTATGCTCCACCTGCTTCAGCTTGACCACCTTCTGCTTGTCCAGTATCTTCATGGCATAATAGTCTTTTGTGGGCTTGTGCTGGACGATCATGACGCGGCCAAAGGAGCCGGTGCCCAGCGTCTTGATCCGTTCAAAATCATCAAGGGCAGCGGTATTGGTAGGATTGCGACGCCATTTATCCTCGAACTCCTCCTTGGCTTGTTCAAGGAACTCCTTGACCGTCTCGGCGGCATCCACCTTCTTGTTGGATGTGGTCGCGTTGTTGCCCATTTTCGAGATGGTGCCCGTTAGCGAGGATAAACGAAACGTGGCGCTGGCTGACACTTGAGCCTGGGGTGCTGAGCTGCTGCTGCTGTTGCTGGGCTGCTCCTCGCCGGAGGCAGCAGCTGCTTCCGATTTTCTTTTTGTTGTAGCTGTTCCAGTTCCTGTTGCGTCCGCTTCGGCTGCTCCTGTTGCTCCTGTTGCTCCTGTTGCTCCTGTTGCTCCTGTTGTTGTTGTTGTGGTCGGCGGCGTTATTTTGTGGCTAGCGGCGGCTGCTTCCTGCTGTCCTCCCCCTGCACCACCGCCTTCCTCCTCGTTGCTGTGCTGCTGCTGTAACTTGCCCTCTGATCCGCTGCCGCTGCCGCTTGCCGTTCCTGAACTATGATGGGATTTTTTCTTTTTGAGAAATTGTAAAATGGATTTAGCTATTTTGGCGAATTGATTAACAACGGTAAAAAGAAAATTTTAGCAATGGCTTTTTGCGAATTGCTATTTTTTTTTTGTTCACTTGTTTTTAGCCTTTTCTTTAGCCGTAAAAACTGACTGGTTTTTTTTTTATTTTGCTTTTGTTGTTGTTGTTGTATTAGTGGAAGCTGCTGCACTTGTTGTTGTTGTTGTTGTTGTTGGTGTTGCAGCTTTAGATTAATATATAGATGATTTTGTTTTTATTTTAATTTTTACACTTTGCGGAGCTTAAACTAGTTTTACACTTTAAGCTTAGACTAACATTTGGTTTACACTTGCAATTTTTTCCGCTTGTTTATAATTTTTATATATTTTCTTATGTTTTTTTTTTTTTATGTGTAGCTGCAAAGAGAATGTTGAGGAAAAGGATAATAACAAAAATTAGCATACCAAAATTTGAATTTTTTCAAGTGTGTGTGCGTGTGTGTGTATGTGCGTGTGTGTGCAGCATTGCCATACGGTTTACTTAGATTCTTTGATTTTTCAGTAAGCCACATTCATGGAACAAAGTTTTTAGTTATACACTACTTGGCACACCATATATTTTATTAATCGTTGACTATGTGTTGCTTTTTGTCATTGATTTTGACTTTTTGTGTTTTTGCATTTGTTTTTGCGTCAATTGAAACCAAATGCATAAGAAAACAATTTAACTCAATAAATAAATCAATTTGCATTAATTAGCGCAACGCAAAAATCAAAGCAAAACTCATTTAGGAAAAACGAAAAAAAAAAACATTAACTACAACAAAAAAAAAAAAAAGAAAAAACTGTCGACGATCGTGTCAAGTGTCAAAACAGCTGATGGCCGTCATATGGTGCACTCTCGCTCGCACTTGCTTGCAACCGTATCAGCTGCCAGCTCAGTGAGAACTTTTGTCTTCTGCTCTAAACTCGAGCTAAAGGCATTAAATTAATTATTAAATCGTTTTCGCTGTGCGTTTGCGTTATGCTTTTACACACGTTCACTGTGTTTTGCTTTTGTCTCATTTGCTTTTGGTTTTGCACTTGTTTTTTCACAATTGCTTTGCGCTCATTTACTTTGTGTAAGCGTGTATACGTTTGTGTATGTGTAAGTGTGCATGTGTATGTGAGTACGAGTTTGTGTGGTGTGTGTGTATGTGTATCTGTGGCTGTGTGCGTTTCTGGTTGGACTTTTTTACGCTCTGCTTTTGGTATACACTTCTCTACATTTGCTGTTTGCTTTGTCGCTTGTGTTTTATTGGTATTTGCTTTTCATTTTTTTGCTGTATTTTAAATTAGGTAAATTGGCATATTTTGTTAAATTTTGCGTTTATAGTTGCATGCCCCATGTATAAAAAACTTTAAACAAACACAGAAACACACGCATACGCATACACACACGTTCACACAGATTGAATAATCGATTTTGCTACACACACTTAAAAATTGCTTTGCATTTGTGATAATTTACCTTTTTTTTAACTAATTCTATGTTTATAGCAATTCTCAATACATTTAGAAATTTTTGCAATTTTTCGCATGAATATTTTCTGAATTTTGCACTTTAGATTTGTTGCTTAGATTTAAAATACCCGCATTTACCGCCGAAAAAACCCGACCACACGCGTCAACAGCAAGATATACAATAACAGTTTCAAGTAACAGCTGTTAACGACAACGCACGATGTTAACAAGTGCTGTTCTCGACGTTCCAATAAGCAGTAGGTAAAATAACGCGCTATAGAGAGAAGAGAGAGAATGAGAGCAGCTCCATAACATAGGAACATGTTGCGCTGTTATGCTAAATTCGCCGTTATATTCGATATATTTGAAATCGAGTTGTTCGCCGCAATCAAGAAAATGCACCATGACATAAGCTGTAGGTAAAGAACTACTGTAAAAATCTTAAATATTTATAATTATACTCATATAAATGAAAAACACCCTAAACAATTTGTAGCGAATATGATAGGTAGGTAGATACATTCCTTAAGAAATTGCATACATTCATTATCGATAGGACGGCCACGAACTACTTCTGGTATTTATACCAATAACTAGTATTTTTTGTGCAGACCGTTTTGTGTATTTGGCGGCAATCCAGTTGCGACCCACAATAAATATTGATATAGAAAAACATAAACAAAAACGGAATTTTTGAAAATTGCACATTCCATATAACATGGATCAAGTTTGTCGCGTTTGCACAAGCAGCGCCGTCACCCTCGTGGATATATTCGCCAAGCGAGACCAATCAGAGGAGGAGCCCTGCCTGGCCGAGATGCTAAACGAATGCATCAACTGCCTTGTGCGACGCGACGATCCATTTCCCAAACAGATTTGCCTCTCCTGCGTGCTGGCCGCCCAGAATGCCTATCGCTTCAAGAAGAGATGCGAGCAGAGCCATAAGCACTTCTGCCAGCTGTTGGGCTTAAGCGAGGATTGCTGCGAAGATTGGCAATTCCCAGAATGTGGCATCAAAGTGGAAACTAATGAAATGGAGGAAATGCTGGGACACGAGCTTGTACCGCCGGACATAGCTGGGCGCATTAAGATCGAGCCGGTGGACTCCATTGAACAGAGTACCACGACGAGAATCGATGCTATCCAGCTAAATGAACCAGTCGAAGCTAGTCCAAAGTCAGTGCCAAGCGACAAAGCAGAGCAATGTCCAGTGTGCTCAAAGGTTTTCGCCAATCGCGGCAGTCTCAAGCGTCACATACGGATACACTCGGGCGAGCGGCCCTACAAATGCATCTACTGCCAGAAGGCGTTCAATCAGAGCTGCAATCTGGACAAACATATGCGCGTCCATTCGGGCGAACGGCCGTACAAGTGCGGCCAGTGCCTGAAGGCCTTCACGCAGAGCAACCATTTGGCGAATCACCTGCGCATTCATGCCCACACCAACGTTGACGAACTGCATCTACAGCCGCACAAGCGCACGCATTCCAGCGAAACGAACTGGGCGGAGCTGGAGGGGCAGCATCGTAGTCGAGCTGGCGAACGTGCCCACAAGTGCAGCCTCTGTGCGAAGGCGTTTACCAGCAAGTGGTATCTGCAGGAACACCTGCGCGCTCACTGTGGCGAGCGATCCTTTAAGTGCTGCCATTGCCCAAAGAATTTTGCCAACCGCGGAGATCTCGAGAGGCACAATCGCGTTCATTCCGGCGAACGGCCGTACGAATGCTCGCATTGCCCAAAGACATTCAGCCAAGCTGTTAACCTGGAAAGGCACAAACGCGTTCATTCAGGTGTTCGACCCTATCAGTGTCCCCATTGCCACATGGCGTTTACACAGAAAAGCCATTTGGTAAATCACATTCGCACTCATTCGGGAGAACGTCCGTTCCAGTGCTTACACTGCATGAAACGCTTTACCCGGCGCGAGTATCTCGGGAAGCATAGTCGTATTCACTCACTTAAATAAGCACGGAACCCCAAAGAAAAAATAAGTAATATAAACATAAATAAATAAAGTTTCTGTTACATTAAACAATCTTCGGCATTTTGAAATTTTGCACATTTATCGAAATCGAAAAGTCGATTTAATAATGTGAACAGTATCTTTTGAGCTTAACATACCAACGCACTGTTAATGTAATACTGCTCTATTGTGAACCATCAGCATATTGCTATGAATTAACAGCGTATCACTGTAAAGTTAGCTGCGACAAAAAGAATACAACAAAAATCCGCATACGAAAGAAGTAATTTAACAAAATAAATAATAAACAAGTAAAATGTGAAATATGCAATACTTTAACTAGCACACAGCTATTTTCTATAAAGTGAATTGCAATAAAATTTAACATCAATCTGTGACGCTGGTATATATACGTATACATATATACGTATGTGATTGTGTTGTGTTGTGTGTGTGTGTGTGTGCGTGCACTTTGTTTCCTGCTGCATAATTAGTTACCTTTTTTGTTTGGATTATTTGCTAGGTAAGTCATCAATAATTTATTAATAAAATAAAAATACAATAAAATTGCCTACTAATCAGTTTTGGTCGCGTGCCCCTGTGACTCAATCAGCCGCTGCAGGTGGATCTTTACCTGACGCCAGCATTATACAAACCTTAGTCATGCTCATTTCATTCGCCTGTTAAAGGCCTACATAAGAGCTTTATTTGTTGTCTGACTGCAATGTTTGCACTCTGTTGTTGGCGCCGTTTGGGTGCAAATGCACTCAAAATGCACCCAACTTACACCCGTACGATACGGACATTCAACCTAATAGTAAAAACAGACCTTAACCCTTTTAAGATGGTATTCTGTTAGCATTCAAACGGTTACAGTTGAACACTTAACAGCTATGGCACACCAAAGCTAACTGTATAATTAGTGTGAATTACGTTGCAGTCAAAGTCAAGTTAAAAGCGCCTGATATAACGCAAATAAAAACAATGTCAAAAGGCTGCAACGCTTGTCCACTGCAACCTAAAGCGTATGGGTGTGTGTGTGTGTGTGTGTGTGTGTGGCAGTGCGTTCATTCACTTCCAAAATGGCTTTTGCGACGCTCTTCTGAAGCTTTAATTGTTGGCATTCGGTTTGGCCTTCCACACGTAGTAATTACTGTGCATGCTGCTGTCTCCCTCTCGCTAACTACGCAACTGTCTTGTTTTCTATTCTATTCTTTTTACCACCGAACTTTATCTATTTACATGCACCCAATTGCGTACGTTCTAGGTGCGCGTGCACCGAGCCAAACGTTTTGGCATATGACAAACAATAACAGCTCAGTAAAAAAAAATATATGTACTTTTAATAGTTGTGAACAGTTGTTGGGCGAACGGTTTATTTATATACAAAGTAACCTGATCTTTATTAAAATTTGGTTAAACCGTGCAAAGTATGCAGTTTTCACTTAAAGTAACAACTTTTTTTATTTTATTGATCATTCTTACAAAATATTTAATTATAACTAAAGAGTTGCATTGTTTCAAAGAATCTATGAATAATTTGACTTTATATTAACAAACTTAAAACAATTTTTATGTCGTAAAAAATTCAACAAAAGCTTGAGTTAAAAATCTTGAGATCTTGAGACAATTGTCAAGCCTTAATCCAGCCAGAATATATTACACTTTGAGAAATTGTGAATGCATGTCTGTTTTAAGAGAACTTTAACTTTTATTTGAAATATACTACGGGTAGAATATGGAAAATAGAGAGACAGAAATTTACTTTGCCAAATACCTACATAGACTGAGTTCTATGGAATCCTAGGCTGGCGTATGGACTTAGGATTGTCTTAGCCGAAGGTCATAATACCCGAATACCCTTTAAAAAGTTAAGCGGATAGTTTGTGACTACATATATCCTTTACTTGTGAGTTTGAGCCTGATGACAGTCAATGCCCGTGCAATTCTGCTTTCCTGGGCTGCTTTGAAAGGGTCACCAGATGCTATGATATAATGATTCTGCTAACGCTTCTTTTGAGATTTGATTTGTTTAAAAGGTTTATTTATTAATATTGAGAATCTTTCAGTCATCTGTCATATATGTCACTTTAGCTGTAGTTGCCTGACATCAGCTCAAAGCGCATTTTCACTTTCGAATCGCACGTCACACGCAACGTGGCCGGACATCTCTCGAGCATTTCACTTAAATATGATTGAATCAGTTTAATTGATTGCACACATGCATACCTACACACACACACGAATACACGGAAACGTGTGTGTGTGTGTGTAAATATAGAGCATGATTTTGTTGTTTACGCTTATGATTTTGTTGCATCGCTCGCAATTTGCAATTTGAGGGCAGGTCAGTCCGCAGAGTCGAGTCGAGTCGAGGCGAGGCGAGGCGAGGCAATAAATATATTAAAAATAAAAAAAAAAAAACAAATGCTCGCACAATTAATTTACATTTATTACACGTGCCGCTCTTTGCGCCTCCCTTCAGCTCCTTCACAAGTCGCCGACGACACGCGCTAAACAAAGCGCCCCGGCCAAATTTATGCCCAGGCCCCAGACCCCGTCCAAATGTAAATGTAACACTCACTTAGATGCCTTCTGTCGTATAAAATTACGTGCTCTGCGAATGCCCCCCCCACCCGTTGCCCCTCTTAAATCATGATGGGACGATAAGCTGTATGCTGTCTGTGCGTAGGTGGGCAACCTATGACACCTGGGACATGCATACATATCGAATGAGACATGAATAACGTATATTAAAAATATAAAATAGAAAGTCTATAGCTCGAAACAATTGTTATTGCATCTTAAAGAAAGTTTAGTTTCTACAATTCACTCGTTATAGAAAATATGAGTCATAGAACTAGGTCACGATTCCAGTAATTAGATTATTAGAAGCAATAATTAAACAATTTATTAATTTATCTATTTATATTAGAGAATACAAAATTTCATAAAAATTAATCAACTTATCATATTAAAGTTAGAGTTAATCAATATTATGATACATTATTTTTGGCATTTATATGGAGCCTTGCAAATTTAGAGGAATAAGAGTATATATTTATTTTTTCGTAAAATAATTGTTGCAAATATATTCTGAACGAATTTCGATGCGAAAAAATCAAATAAATCTACTTTATTTATTCTGATTAGTTTTTTAGTATCTTTCGTAGATATACAAAAAATGAAAAGAACTATCTGATTTATGATATTAATATTCAATTCTTGATATATTTCTTCTAAAGAAATTTGGGAAAAAACAGAATTCTTCAAAAAAAATTTAGAATAAATATCTAATTTATGATATTTAATTCTTGATATATTTGTTTGTAATGAAATTATTGGAATTTGGGGAAAATATTCAATTTTTAGTCAAGTTTTGTGTCTAACTACTTATAAAGTCGAGTATTCACAGAATTCTTCAAATAAAATTGTGTATCTATTAAATATCAAAAGTCAACTTTTTTCAATGAACTATAGCAAGACTTATTTGTATAACAAAAGTGGTTGATATTTTTGTATCTGTTGGCATATATGCAATTAGGAAACCAATTATTTTCGCGTAGATTGAAAAGGCAGTGCCATTAGAGAGCTTTCACACGAATAGCTAAAAATTATATATGATATATTCACGTGGTGTTTTAGCCAAGCATTTAATTGGCAAGAGTAACCCGACTTTAGCGTTGTCTTGCCCGCAGAGACTAATTAGTCAGCAGAGCAGCCGCGCCCCCTGGCCAAGTGCAAAGGTGCCTTCGCTACGTCCCTTATATGTTTTCTTATACATATTTACATAAAGCTAACGCAATTCTCTTACAGCTAACACTAATATTACTCAGAAATTAAGTCGCATAGTGCTTCCCCCTCATAAGAATCAGCGCCCTCAATGAACCACCACGTGCTCCCAATTCAAGTACTGTGAGTATTTACTATCAACAAAATAAGTACTTAATCGAATGGTCTGATCCTTTGCATGAGTTTGAAGCTGGCTGTTGCATGTGCCATGCATTTACAACTACATATAATAGTATACTATGCATGAATACGCCCGAACCAAATGCTATATCGCACTGCGCAATCAACAAACCATTCATATCGATTCTTATATTTGTATGGGGGCTTATTTATTATTGTTTTACTTGCGTAATTTTAGATTTTGCTGTTTTTATGACAACGTCTCGCATGTTAGTTTAAGTTTCAATGCTAAAGTCCCTAATGGGCGAAAACTGGATATACGCAGTGTTAAAGCTCAATGTCCAAAAACAAATGTAAAGTGTAAAGTATTTGCCCAGCACTCAACAAACATGGGCTTGTACTGTTAATACGGGCTGTTACGAACAATTATGTTATGTTGCCTTTAACATAGCTATGTTACGAGTAATGTTTAATGCTCCATTTGTTATTACTGTAATAAAGGTTTTTATGAGTGAGCGATCGCCTGAATTTCTGCTTTTTAGAGATAATATAATATAAGTCTAAATTCTTGCTGCTTCCCCGTATGTACTAATCTTATCGGCATAAATGTACTAAAAAATCAATGAGTCAGCTAGGTGATGTTTTGATAAGAGGACTGCAATTACTTTGCCCCCTGCCCAATTTGTCATTAAGCCGCTGACTTTGCGATGACTGATCTTTGGTTATACGCCATAGCTAAGCAGCTAATGGGTTTCGATTCATAATCACCCAACGTGTTAAAGTGTGTTGCCCTTATCAGCTAGTTTACCCTACACATATGTTTTGGGGGGTGTACGAGTACACATAGGCTAGCCTAGCCGAATCTCCTGATAACACAAACCTTTCACTCAACACTTTTTATGTATAAGAAAACATCAAACACGCATAAAAAAGATGTTTATGTGAAAGCAAATAAATAAATGAACGCAGGCAATTTGTTATGAAAAGTTTTCGAAATGCGAAAATATGCTGCATATGGTAATGGCATCAATTAGCGTTCTGTGAGTTTGTGTGGATCCCATCTGTTTGAGAATTTATGTGTGTTCTTTGGC